TTTTTCTATTATTTTTTGTTGTTGGGGAAAAGGGGGGGGGGGGGGGGTTATATAGTGTAACGTCATTTAATTTGATGTTCCTACAAAAGGTATTGTGTAACGTCATTTAATTTGATGTTCCTACCTTCATTAGATTCTAAATATATATACCTGTATAGATTTAAATGTGCTATGTTTAGAGCGTTCCACCAAAACCAAGTACAGGTACTGACACTGGCAGGCCCCCTGTGTGTGGTTCCATAATTTCCATGCAATATCCTGTACTTTTTTTAACAAATTACGCACATTTAGGGTTAAAACGGTCAATCTTCTTCGGACAGGTGGACACACGCCCTTATTTGTTAATTGTTGTGGTTGTTTCTGGGCTGTTCTAGTTTTGATTTCATTCTGTTGTGAAACCTTTCTTTTTCACGTTTTTACACTCATCTAAAAATCTCTAGACTAGATCTAGCTCTTGAAAATTGAAATAGATCTAAACCCAAAAATGTGCTCCGTTTTTTTTTTAATGGACGATAACCGTCCACTCAATAGAAAAGAGGGTCAGATTTCTCCGTCTCTCGGGTGCCTCAGGCAGTACCCGCCTCGCTAACCCAGTGGGCACACGGCCGGAGGAGAAGCTGAGAACAGATACCACCTTTGATTTGCTCCTTCCCAGACCTCGCAGAATGACGGAATGAAAGTTGGCGCCGAACTCTCGCAAATAGGCAAACAATCACGACCAGAGCGGAAGCCGGAAACCGTTCGGAGAAATAAAGATCGGCACTATTTCTCCGAACGTTCGGAGAAATAGTCACTTCGTTATATTAGATCTACTCACAGGCCGCCGATTATTAAGAGTCCCGCGTTTAATTCTGATTGCATTTTTCAGGGTTAGGGTTAGAATCTTGGGATAATTAGGGTGAGGGTCAGGGTTAGGGTCAGGGTGTTAAGGTTAAGGTTAGGGACTAAAGCGAAATATGCCTGCCTGAGGCTATGAAAAACGAAGTGACTATTTCTCCGAATGTTCGGAGAAATAGTGCCGATCTTTATTTCTCCGAACATTTTCCGGCTTCCGGTCTCGTGATTTTTTGCCTATATTTATTGCGAGAGTTCGGCGCCAACTTTCATTCGACTGCCTCTGGTCTGGGAAGGAACACCGCATGGCAAGCCCGCCTACAGACAACCTTCTGTAACACCCACCACACACCCACCACCATCATGCACATGTACACACACAAACTTATACACACACTGTAACTAACTAAACATGATCAGTGGGCAACTTTTGAACGTATGACGAGCTGAGCTGTGGATGGAGAGACAGTGTGAGTGACAGAGCAGGTGAAAGGAAGAATGTACGAGTGTATCCACAGGCGACAGCAACTACAAGGCGACGACACCGACCCCCCTGGCCTGGTCCACAGCGCACGAACGAAAGGAAAGCGGCTAATGCAGTGTTTTGCTAATATTATTTTCCATGGTTCGCAGGGTGCAAGGGAATGAGTGAAATTTTCTTTGTGTGTGCCTGGAGGGAGGGGGTGGGGTATGAAAGTCATGCGGACGGTGATGAGCCGCGGGAGAGAACACGGGAATTGAATGAATGAGTGAAACTGAAAGAGAGGAACGGGAGAGAACACGGGAATTGAATGAATGAGTGAAACTGAAAGAGAGGAACGACTCATGAGCCCTGGAGTCAATGGATCCTGTGTTTCTATTTTTGTATACTGAATAAAGGCTGAAATAAAGCCCGAAAAACAAACACACACGCACTCTCCTCACTCTCCACTTACACACTTACTACCACACACAGACACACACGCACATGCATACACACACACACACACACACACACACACACACACACACACACACACACACAGGAGCAAATTTTTAGGTCTATATCTATTTCAATTTTCAAGAGCTAGTCTAGAGAGTTTTAGATGAGTGTAAAAACGTGAAAATAAAGGTTTCACAACCGAATGAAATCAAAATTAGAACAGCCCATAAACAACCACAAAAATTAACAAATAAGGGCATGAGTCCACCTGTCCAAAGAAGATTGGCTGTTTTAACCCTAAATGTGCGTAATTTTTAAACAAAGTACAGGATATTACATGTAAATTAAGGAATCACACACATTAAGGGGCCTGCCAGTGTCCGTAAATGTAATCGGTTTTGGTGGAACGTACGCTCTAACATAACACATTTAAATTTATATATATATATACACATGTATATATATTTAGAATCTAATGAAGGTAGGAACATCAAATTAAATGACGTTACACTATACAACATCCCCCCCCCCTTTTTTTCCCCCAAC